GGGGGGGGGGGGGGGGGGGGCTTGGAAGCAGCCTTGCAGCTGCCTTTGCCACGGTGAGCCAGCAAGCTCAGCCGCTCCGAGCACCATGCCCAGGGGGGGTTGGCGGGGGGGGGGGGTCTCCACGCGATATGGTGGCCAAGCTGCAAAGCTAAATGTTGCTGGTCAAAGACGAAGCACCAGCAATGGTCACCTTTCATGGTCCGACTGGGCTTGTCGGGTGGGGGGTGACGCCAGAGGCAGGAGGCAAAACTCTGCAGAAATTTAAACGCTTTGGCTGGGAAATGTTGGGCAAGAGATTCCCAGAGGCACTTACTCAGTCAGCAGCCAGAAGCTGTGGGCCTTCTCCCCCATGTTCGCCACCACGTGGGCCTCCAGATCATCCATGGCTTGGTCAAAAGCGCCAGGCTGAAAAGAGACAGGGAAGGCAAGCTTAGGAAAAGAGCACAAAAGCCAGCCACACACGCGTCCCCCCTTTTCTGGAAACCAGCCTGCGCCCCCTTTCTTTCCCCTCGGAAAAGGCGGCTGCCAAAAGGGGCAGGCGTGGCCCAGGGCTTCGGGCCTGAAGTGCTGCTTCTGTCCCCCCAGGACCCTCTGGGACCCTGTATCGTGGCCCCTGCTGAAGCCCTGCGGCTGCCCTTTTGCAGGCCCAGAATCCCCGGAGGGGCTGCGAAGAGCACGGGCCGATGCCCCCAGGCCCAGAGGAGATTTTGCAAGCCAGAAAGGGTGGGGAGCCCCCGGCGGGAGATACTGGGGGTCTTCGTGCGCTTGACTCACCCGCGAGACAAAATACTTCCTGGAGTCATGCAGGTCCTCGTGCGGTCGTGGGTAGAGGACGCTCTTGGAAGCAGGGGATGGAGCGCCGGCGAGGATCGGGTCCGCAGGAGGCTCCGCACCACGGTTCCCTGGGCCCTTCTCTTCCGGCTGATTCTGCATCTCTGCAGTCTGGAACTCCTGGGCGTTTCCAGCAGCTGACATTTCGGCAGCCTTAAAGCCAAGTGAAAACAGTCCGGAGCGTCAGCCAGGGGCTCCCTGGCCTCCTCCTGTGTAGACCGTCTATTGCTGTGCTTCATGTTGGACTGACGGAATTTGTATGCTATGCGAGGGTGTCTTGAACGTGCGCACCAGTACGAATGGGGGCACCTGTGTGCGCTTTGGCCATACCCACCCCGGCAAAAGGTTCACCCTGAGACCTCCAGCTGCCGGCTTTCCACCCGTGAGCGATCCAGCAGAGGCGACACGAGGAAGGGGCCAGCCCAGCTCTCGCTGCTCCCGTCTTTCAGCCGCGCTTTTTCCTAGCCCTGGCCGCATTTTGCCTCTTCCAGTTTTCTCTTTCAGAATAAGGCATTCGGGAACCCTTGCCGCTCTGCTTGTAGAAGTGAGACGCGGGACTGGCCTGGCTTGCAAAATGCAGCGCTTTGTCTTCGTTTTCTGAAATATCTAAGAGGTGAGCCCGACGTCTGCTCAGAAAGGAAGAAAAGCCATGCGGTTCCCGACGGAGCAGGGGGTCAGTGGGGAGGCAGAAGCCATTCAGACCAGTATGCAAACACCTCCCCCCAGCGGACCAGTTCAGAAGAGTGCCTGACCGCCCCTCCGCATGGCTCGCACGCATGACTTCTGCTAAATGGTTGTTGACTTTCCTTTCCTTTCCGCTCTGCCTCATTCTGAGTCGCTCCGTGACAACAATATTGACAAAAGGGGACGGAGGCCTCTTCCAGCTTTTCCACCTCAGGCGGGAGCGTCAGCCCACGGCAAGGCCGCAGCCCCGGACGGCCCGCAGGGCGCCATGTTACGCATCCTCACAAGCGGCCGGAATGGGAATGGCGCACACCGCCCTCCGAGCCAAGGAGGGACAGCCGGGGGCCTGGCCGGAAAGGCGAGGCCGGCTGTGCTGGGCATTGCAGGAGCCGGGGGGAGCGGAGAGAGCGGGGGGCGCACCTCTCTAGGGACCGGGTGGACAGGAGGGGCAGGGAAGGGCGCCCTGGGGAGGGTTCTGCTGTCTGCACCGGGAGGGCAGAGTCCACAAGACCAGATGATCAAAACCGCAGAGATTCCTCAGCAGAATCACCACGGAGACAACACCTCGAAGGCCCATGCGGGGTCGATTCAGCTCTTCTTGTGTTCTTTCTTTCTTTCTTTCTTTCTTTCTTTCTTTCTTTCTTTCTTTCATTCATTAAACAACTCATATGCCGCCCCCTTCGCATAAGCCTCGGGGCTGCTTCCAATCATAAATAAATGCCAACATATAGATACAAAAAATAATGAAGACATCCTGGCAATTTAAAATCAAGAAATAACATTAACAATTAAAATAACATTTGAATAAAATGGTCTTGGCCTGGCGCCAAAAGACAAATAACGACGGCGCCAGATGGACATCTCTGGGGATCACATTCCATAGACGGGGCGCCACCGCAGAGAAGGCCCTCCTCCGGGTTCTCACCCTCCTAATATCCTTCACGGAGGGTTCCCGGAGAAGGGAACCCTCCGTGAAGTGTTCTTGCGCTGTGCTGATCCACAGCAGTGTTTGCACTTGTGGGTGTGTGCTCCGTAACAACCCACTTATCAGGACCAGCCGATGATGGTCATGGGACACCGAGCCAACAGAGGCAGGGAAGCGATTAGCAGCCTGGACTTCGGCAGAAGACTCTGAGGTGGCATGGACTTCCCTCTCTCTCTCTCTCTCTTTCTCTTTTCTGACGCTCCCACAGAAAAAGGGATGGATGCTAGAGGGGTGGAATCCACCGGGTTTCGTCCCAATCTTAAATATCATCACCTTAAGATTGTCCAGGAGTTCCTGCTCCCTGAACTGGGAAGAAACCTTTTTTTGAATGTCATCACACGGTTGTAGCAAATGTCATCCCCACCAGAGCTAATGACTGGGTTCATACAACACAAGAATCCCCACCCATGGGTTGGATAACCAAGGCTTGTTTAACCATGAACAACCCATGATGGTTTGTTGCTGAGCTGTAAACTGTGGTTTGTTCGCCATGGTTTATCATCTCTGCTGGGAACAAACAAATGAGGTAACCTATATTTCAATAGCAACTCATGGTTCAACAACCCTCATTCAATCCTGAAATGTGGGTTCTTGTGTTGTAAGTGTGTTAACAGCCTAGTCAAGATTAAGTTTTCCCAAAACGCTTTGCATTACAGCACAAAACAGTTAATGTTGCTAGGAAAATTAACAAAACAGTTAATGTTGCTAGGAGAATCGCAGCTAAACTCAGAGGCAACAGGGAAGTGTGGGGGAAGGTGAATGGCCCGTGGGGCCGTGGGCCCAGGTGGGTCCCAGCAACACAACTGAGTAGCAGGGAGTCTGGCCCATCTGCCACACCACCACACTTTCCTTCTCCCTCCAAGCTGTGGGGAAATGCTTGCAGCAGGAGTCAGGGAGGCTTGGTCCGGAAGGGCAATTCAGAGCCATCCGCCAAACAGACGGCCTCTTCCTGGTGGAGAGGAAAACCCCCAGAACCAGTGACGGTAAACCTTTCAGAGACTGCAACCCAAAACCCAGTTATTTATCGTAGAGTGCCAACACTGCAATAAAACCTGAAAACTGAGGTTTTAGTTTAGAAAAGCAACACACAGCCAGTCCAAGCAAGTATATATATATATATATCCTTGGCAGCGCACTGACTGGCCATGCGAAGGCTCAGACGAGTCACGTCTAACAAGTCGTGGCTTATGACATCATTGCCTGGCGCCGATACTCCTTTCCGAGCATGCGCGTGGCCCCTATGCGCACTGTTATCCGATGCTCGGCTGCCGGGGCGGTGCTGGGGTGGCTTGGCTCGCGTGCCGACAGAGAGGGCTCTGCGTGCCTGCGGGGGCCCACGTGCCACAGGTTCACCACCACTGGCCTGACCCTACCCTGGTGCACTCCCCTAACCCTAATACAGCGGTATCTTGGCTCACGAACTTAATCCATTCCAGGACTCTGGTTGTGACCCAAATTGCTTGTGAGCCAAGTTAAATTTCACCATAAGGTTCGATGTAAAGAAGGTTAATCTGTTCTGTACCCATTTTTTTTAATCAGAAAAATGTGAAGCAAAGTGACAAAGAAAAATAAAGATCCTGGCCACCCCCCCACCCCCCCAGCATGACCGAGATCGCGCTCGTCATTCCTACACACACCCTTCATCCCGGCATGCTGGGGGTGGGGGGAGACAGGCGCGATCATGGGGGTGCTGGGGGAGGGAGACGGGTGCGATTGTGGGTGCACTGGGGGGGTTGAGACAGGCGCAAATGTTGGCACGCTGGGGGGGAGAGATGGGCATGAATGCAGGTCGCACTCAGTGGGGAGACGGGCACGATCATGCTGGGGGCAGAGATGGCCGAGATCGCGGCTGCGCTTGTGCAGGAAAGACGGGCGTGATCTCGGCCATCTCCCCCACGCACCCAGCATGATCGTGCCCGTCTCCCCACTCGGGGGGCTGGGGAGATGGCCACGATCGCAGTCGCCACCCAATGTGGAGTTTGCAACCTGAGTCAAAAATTTTATGAAATTTTTGTTCACAACCCAATTTGGTTGCAAACAGGCATTCGTGAGCCAAGGTACCACTTTATAGGGGTAAAATACCATTGAAAGGGGTGATTTAGAAAAAGCCTTCCTTGAGTAGCTTTTCCTGCACAGCTCAACATTTCTGCCCATCCTATAAACATTCCAACCATCAAAATCGTGCCAGGACACCTCGTTTTTCAAACCCTAACCCTACCCTGGTGCACACCCCTAAGCCTAATATGGGGTTACAGGTCCATTGAATCGCGGGCTATTCTGAAAAATCCTTGCTTGAGTGGCTTTTTCTGGACAGCTCATCATTTCTGCCCATTCTGAACACATTCCAACCATCCAAACCATGCCAGGACACCTCATTTTTCTAACCCTAACCCTACCCTGGTGCACACCCCTAACCCTAATATGGGGCTAAAGTTCCATGGAAAAGAGGGCGATTCTGACAAATCTTTGCTTGAGTGGCTTTTTCTGGACAGCTCATCGTTTCTGCCCATTCTGAACACATTCCAACCATCCAAACCATGCCAGGACACCTCGTTTTTCTAACCCTAACCCAGTGCTGGTGAATCTTTTATAGACCGAGTGCCCAAATTGGGAACCAGAACACACTTATTTATCGCAAACTGTCAACACTGGTATAAAACCTGAAAACTGAAGTTTTAGTTTAGAAAAAACACCTTACAGCCAGTCCAAGCAAATATATATATATCCTTGACAGCACAGTGACTGGCCATACGAAAGCTCGGATGAGTCACGGCTAATGAATCGTGGCTTGTGACATCATCTCCTGGCACCTGTACTCCTTTCCGAGCTTGTGCATGGCCCCTCTGTGCGCTGCCATCTGATGCTGAACTGCTGGGGTGATGTGGGGCGACCTGGCATAGAGGGCTCTGCATGCCTGCTGTGGCACTCGCGCCATACATTCGCCACCACCACCCTCAGGGTCCTAACCATCAGGAAGTGCTTCCTGGCATCCAAATTGAAGCTTGGCTCCCTGAGCTTTGCTCCACTGGAGTCCGTCCTGCCTTCCTCTGCAGGGGAGAACCGGTCTCTGCCCACCTCCATGTGGCACCCCCTCACATACCTGTATGTCGCCAACATATCCCCTCTGAGTCTCCTCTTCTCCAGGCTGAAGAGACCCAGTTCCCTCAGTCTCACCTCATGCGGCTTCCCCTGCAAACCGGCCACCAACCTTGTGGCCCTACGCTGCACTGACTCTAACCTGGCTATATCCTTCCTGTAATGAGGGGCCCAAAACTGAGTGCAATACTCCAGTTGCAGGCGCACCAGAGTCGTGTAGAGTGGCAGTAATACCTCTCTTGATCTAGAAGCCA